GTGTGTGTGTGTGTGTGTGTGTGTGCGCGCGCTGTTTGAGAGAGCACGTGCAAATTCGTTATGAAAATCTTTGGCATGCGGTATTTATCTGACCAGGATGTTCCCTTGCTAGCTAAACATCTTTGAGAATAGAAGCGCCCCACCGGCCCAAATTTTGCCCCATTTTTTTTATGTTTTTTAAAGTCCTGTACCTGCCCTCCACATCTACCCCGAGGCCTTCGCTGCAGACCTGAGAGCTGTGATAACTGTCGCCTGCACAGCCTATGTTGATCTCCTGTGAGAGGCTCCGGATTCGGAGAACGTAATGCATGTTTTTGGTTGTAGAGGGTGCCTGTGCGGTACTGCAGGATGGTGCGCTTCATGGGTACAGATGTGTTGGACATGTTTCTAAAGGCATTGCTGATTCTTTTATCTACTTGCGGTAATAAGTTTTGATATTAAGATTAGCAGCCTGTTTTGGCATTGGCATATCCAAGCTTGTGTTTAGAATGCATGTGGGATTTGAGGGCATCTTGAAGATTGGGGAAATAGGTGAGCTTGTTGGCGGGTGGTGGACTCGCAGATGTGCCTGCAGCATGCTCTCTTTCTTCCTTGGCTAACCAGAAAATGTTTGTGGATGGATTTCCACCAAGACCTGCACCAGGAATCTTGGTATCTGCCACGCAGTTCTTGGCTTGCTTTGCCTGATGTTACGCAATATCATCTGCACATTCATTCCAACGATGCCAGCATGGGACTTCACTTTGTAAATTCGAATTTTTGTATGGAAGTCTATAATGAGAGTTGAAATCATTTTAAGGACGTCTCCTTGGATGTGCCACAGATGTTTCTCAGGGTAAAGAAGTTGTATACATATTTGTTCAAGAGAGGTTAGGCTGTCTGATGCAATGTCTGCATGTTTGGAAATGATAGCAGCAGCAATTGCTGCCAATGCAGCTCTAGGAATGGTTTTAGTAAGCCCAGCACCTTCTGGTTCTACAAAGTTTTGCTGTCAGTGGACGGGCAGTAGACGCCTGCACCGATTTCTTGCTTACCGTTATGGACAAGGCAGCTGCCATCTGTGTATGCCCATGCTCTCCAATCAGCAAATTTGAGGGTTAGAATAGCACTGGATTGGCTGGGCACCAAGTCTGTTTCTTGGACGATCATGTGTGGATTTTTAGGGTGTTTGGAGGCATGTTGTTTGTCCAATGGGAGGCGTTCCAGTTTATTGAAACCTGGCATGTGGGCATGCATGGGATTCAGGACAGGGTGGCTGCTGACGCTCCTCAGCTTCCACTCTGTGGCTTCTTTCAAGTCTCCTTTCAGGCCCTGTAGCCAATCTTTGTTATGGTTGTTGAGATGAACTCGAGCTGCATTGTTTTAATGAACAAAAATACAAAGGTCCCAGGTTTGCTGAGGTGGAGGTATCTCTTG